ACTCTTACATTTTCCTGTGCAGCAGAAAACAGCTAAAAATAAAACACTGTAATTTCCAAAAGAAGCAGCAGCAAAGGAGGGAAAGATAGAAGGAAAGGAAAAGAACATCCTTAAAAAAAAAAAAAAAAAAAAAGAGAGACAAAAAGGAAGAAGCACCCCCCTCCCAGACCCAAGAAGAACTTCATTCTCAAATCATCTTTAAAGGACATGGGACACTCAGACATGGTGGTATCAAGTAACAGCATTGACTGTTCTGTGGAGACAAATAAATTATCACTAGAAATATAGTGAGCAAAGTGCTGTCATCGGCTGTTGTAGGATGGCTGGGCGGGAAGGGGAAAGTGGGACCAATCAGTTCACAGAGCGGACGGAGCGGTTGCTTCGTGGGAACCGATGCACCTTGACGTGTTTGGACAAGTGGTCGCTTCGAGCAAACTTCTTCTCACAGACGGGACACTGATAGGGTTTCACCCCCGAGTGGGAGCGCCTGTGCCGGGACAGCTCATCTGACCTGGAGAACCTGCAAGAGAAGAGAAGCCTTTTCATATAAATGGTTTTTTACATTGCTAAGTCTCTCACAGCAGAAAAAAAGTCCCCTTGGGCCACTGGGAGACTCCACTTGTGGCCAAGCCCGAAGATGTGAACTGAAAGGGACACGCAACAGGGCCGGTCTGGTCCCAAACAGCAGTCAGCAGCAGTGATGGAAACACACAACTATCAGCCTCGTCCCATGTCAACTGTGGACTCAGAGCAATGCATGGAGGCAACCTTGCCCTAAACCCAGTAACACGGGTACAGCTCAACAAAAACAGGTGCCGCTCTTGATCCCTCTGCCAGTCCCTGTCCCACAACCTCCCTCCTGCAAATCCAAGCACAGACCTTTCTCAAGCAGAGATAACAACCAACGTCCCGCAGGTGAGGCCTGCTCCAAGCTCCACTGACACGAGCACAACGGACATCCAGTAATTGCATCTGGTTTGAGATGGACCCCCAACAACAGCCAGACATAGCTACCCAGAAGCTACATGGCTTATCAGATCCAGCTGAAAAACTGGCTTTCCTACGTGCTCCTGCAGGCTAAATAAAGTCATTAACATCTCAGTATCAGAGATGCTGGACGTTGTAACAGCTGAAATCCAGGTGGGCCCCAACAGCCATTAACATAGTTACTTCATGGGTAAATTGAAATCAAGATTGAGCCTTTAATTACCAAAACTGTCTCCCAGAGTCATTTCAATTTTAGATATTTCCCACCTTCCATCTCCACAGAAAAATCCCCAAATAGCCATTGTGTATCCCACAGGCTTTACTGAACTCAAATCAGCTAATCCTTTGGTCTTAGCAGCAAGGCTGGCTCTATTTCCAGCTTGGATGTGACTGGGAGCCACAGGGTTAATTAATAATGTCACACCAAACCAGCCCTGTCCAGATGGGTACAAAAAATTTGCTGCCTGACGAAGGGCAATTAAGTGTTTTGTTGCCAGAGCAGTAACAAAGAGTGGCACAGAGAGAGAGCTTGCAAGAAATGGTATCAGCTGTTTATTTACAATAAATAAATGAAATCATGGGCACTAGCTGAATAAATGAGGGAAAGAACATGTAGAAAAATGTGCCCTTCTGGAGCAAAATATCACATCACCAACAGAATGAATATGCTATTTTTATGAAAGGAGGAAACCAGGACCACTGGGCTTCTATGAATAACTCCTTCATGCAAAAAAAGTAAGTTTCCACATAAAGGTTTTAATTAGCTCTGATCTCCCACTGCCAGTTGAGGAACAGGCACGGGCACTGGGAAAGCCAGCAATGGTTTCCTTAGTTCCCGCAGCTCTTCAGTCCGGTGCTGCTATCCACAGAGTGTTCAGCCAGCACAAAGCAGACACAGATACTCACCATGGGTAAGGTATGGTGTGGACATATCTCTCCTAGGGTTATTTCTAGGGGAGATGCTTCACCCATTCTCGTGCTTTTCTCCCTTTCCTTGCTTTGGCATCCCCATGGTGAAAGAGTCAAACTCACCATTAAGAGCAACAGGCAGATGGGGCCTGTTTGGAGCCATCAACCTGATCCTTGTCTGGGATGCGTCTTCCTCATAAAGGCTACGACAGAGGTTTCTCTTCACCCCTAGTACTTGCACGTTTGCTTTCTCTAGCACCCCTGCTCCTTCCAGCCATGGCTTCCCAAAACCACAGTCTGGACCCAGGAGCAGCAGGGCCAGGGATTTCTCCCAAGTCCTTAGCAGCGAGCTAGTTCCCAGTGCCACATTCCTGGAAGGATGCTCTTGTAGAGCTACAAATGATTGGGACTAAGCGTCTTTCTGGAGAGGGCAGGATGATGCCTGTGCAGACTGCCCCAGCAGGACTCAGTGCTGGACAGGGAACAGACCCGTTGCCAGTGGTGGCAACCACATCCAGGGAAAAGCACCTTTGCAAAGACCCGTTCTCTTATATACAGGCTTATCACCCAAGGGAGTAAAACCAGATGTGGCTGGGTTGCCTTGTCCCATGTCCTTGGCCATTAAGGTCACCATCTGCAACAGAAGTGCAGTAGCACATGGCTAAGCCTGCACAAGAGTTCCACAAGTGCATTTTGATGGGAATTGCATGGATGGTGGGGGAGAAAGAGGCGCATGTCAGGAATGAGCAGCTCCACTCATACCCTGGGAGCTCGGATGAGTTCATCCGATAAAAATACACTCTGCCTCATAATGATGTCCTTAGCTGAAGAGGCAGGAATGTTGCAATACTGTTCCCCAGCAGTCACGGAAAGATCAACTTACAGAGACCACAGAAATAAACCTCGAGCTGTCGGTGTGTTTACAAAAAAACAACGCAAAGGTTAGGACAAGGAAGCCAGGAGGATCTGGTGGCCTGGCTCTGCAGTGAAATGATATTTGTAGCATGCTCTGGCACTGAGAACACCCCAAGGAAACTTCAAATAATCCCCAGTGGAATGCCAAATTCAGACAAAAAAAAAGATACTCCCAAGGAACACCTCACTATCCCAAGTCACTGCCGTTTCCAGAAGGATTCCTCCTTCAAAAGAAAGGTGGAGGGATCTGGGCAATCCCACAGCAACTAGAAGAGTTTCCTTCATCCTTCTATCTGGTGGGACTCTAAAGGACCTAAAGTAACTACATCTCCCTTGAAGACAAATCCTAGAAGTCCCTGATGCGTAGGACATGTCCTGTGTCTCCTGGCCATATGAGGACATTGCAATGTGCTTACAGGGCAAGAAAGATCAATAGCATCAGCCTGGTACTCCATGGTCCCTACCATGGCCACCAGTCATTGAGACTCAAGCTGTGCCTCTCCTCCGCAGGTATGGTCCCTACCATGGCCACCAGTCATTGAGACTGACTCAAGCTGTGCCTCTCCTCCGCAGGGGAGGGGAAGCTCTAGATTCATCCTGCCCATCCCCAAAGCACTGCTACGGTAAACCAGCACACCTCCTGCACGCCTGCAAACCCCTTTGCACAGCGCCAGCAAAAAAGGCCAATGCAAGACGCCTGCCCTGACCTGTCCCAGGTGTGGCCCTCCCCATGCTCGCCCGATCCCATACGCGCCCCCAGCCACACGCACTACAAGCCTTTACACCCTCCCTACCAAACCAGGCAGAGTTTACATTGCACGCTGTCACCTGCGGAGCCGGCTGCAGGGAAGCGCCTCCAGCCCGGCGATGTGGCAGGGCATTTAAACGCGATTGCCTAATCCCCCGGCCTTACAACAACTGCAGCTTTGTACACTGCTGCGCCAGCGGAGGGAAAGCGAGAGCTTCTCCTGCTCCGTGCCATAACACGGCCGCTGGGGACCAGCCTGCGCTGCAGCTCAAGCTTTTTTGGTCAGGGCTGTCTCAGGAGCTGAGGCTGCCATGTGCCAAAGGTGTAAGCCAGCACGACACGGATCAGTGCACCAACGGGTACAGCGGGGTATCGAACGCAATGGGTCACCGGCCACTTAGGAACAGCTTGCTGCAGCCTGCCGAAAACAGCTCTTGCCCCCTGCCAAGGAAGGACACAAGCAAGCAGGGTTCAGCCCCCTCCAGGGAGGTATCTGGGGCTCTGCCACTTGTTGGAGGGGTTAGCAAAAGGGGTTGCTGTGCGCGCACCCCTACCTTGGTGCATTTAAAGCACGCAATTTCACCATAGCAGGGCTGCCCAGAGAGCTGGGAAAGCTTTAACCCCCCCACAGCTCAGCCACTTTGTGCTGGGCAACACTTTGTTTTGGTTTTGAAATTACTATCTTCAGTAAGGTCAGATCTTAAGTGTCTTTGGTGAAAAAATAAATACGCAAGTACAAGAATGCAGGGAAAGGAGGGGGAAAGCAGAGCCCAGCAGTGGTTTAGTGCTTAATTTCATTTGAGATAATATAAAACTGGGAGCAAACAGTCCAGATGCATTTGACTTAAGTCATGTGATAGCTCAGCTCTCGCTGAACTTCTGGAAAAGGTAAACATGCTTTATTGATGAGAGGGGATGGAGTAATTCAGTGCTCCGCTGGGTCTGGCCTTTGATGTGGGAGCAGCACGTAGGGGATGTGCAGGAATCTCGGGCTGGTGCTAAGGATTGCTCTGAGAGCAGGAAGCAGCTCCCCAGGCGCTGCCTCTCCTGCTGGCTATAACCCCCCCCTCGGGGGTGTTGGGGATCGGGGTACCAGCCTGGGCTGTGAAATGCAACAAGACAAACAGCAGTAGAAAGTTTCAAAAGCCCTCCCAGCAGCTGTTTGTTGACGAGACATGTTCCTCCCAGCTAAGGTGATCAATTTCTCATTCCTGTTGGGCTCTTCGTCTTTAAAAAGTTGTGGCTGGCTGAGAGTGAAAGTTCAGGGTGCTCTCAGTTGTGGGACCTGCACTCCTCTTGGCCCACCTTACACCTGCATCCTGCTTCTGATCCACACCATTCGCTGTAACACTGGGAGAAGGCAGGCACCCCAGCGTGAATTCAGTCTCCATCCCTTACCGCTTAATATTTTTCCTAACTGTTCCCTTTGGTTTTGCAGCCTGGGAAACACCAGCTCTGTAATAAGACGAGGCTGGAGGAGGTCACCCACAGGCAACACGTCAGGCTCCTCATCTTGAGCAGCAGAAAGTCAACAGGAGCGTTCGTATGAATCTCAGCGTGGATCAGATGAACCCTCACATGCCACATGTGCTTGTCACAAAAATGGGAGTTCTGCTCACATCCCAGTGCAAGGAAAGCCAACATGACACCCACAGGCATGTTGCAGGCAGGAGGCACATCTGCTGCCTGTGCGCACGTACTCTGGCAACCGAACCAAAAGGAGCGAGTGCCTCTACTGCAGGTCAGGGGCAAACCCGCCTGCAGCTTCTGGGCCCAATCAGCTAAATAACAGGGCTTTCATTTCAGTGCATCCTGAGCAGCAAGCCCCCGAGCCCGGCTCGTGAGGAGCGCCACCAGTACAAAAGGAAAGAAAATCACCACCAGTTTGTAGAGTCGCCATAAACTGAAACAGGAAAAGAAATCACCAAAGAAATAAATTGCACTGATCTCCTCAGTCCTCCCGAGAGGCAAACTTCAAACTGGTCCAGTTGGGGAGCAGAGGATTCAGCCCCATTCCGACCTTTTCCCTCAAACCACTCCAGCCATCTCTAACCGCTGCCCGTCTCACGTACTTGCATTTTTACACAACCCCTTCCAGTTACTTTTTACCTCGTCTGTTCCCCATGATCACAACCCATTTCCTCATTAGACATTGCTCGTTGAAGCTCTGCAGGATATTTTTTGAAAGAAATCCTGTTTAATTTAATACAAGGGAGTTAAGATTTTGTTTTCTCCCATCCCGACTTGTGGTGCTGTGTATTAATGCTTGCCAGCAGGCAGGCTAGTAATACAGCTTATTGGAAAGAGGGAGAAAGGCTTTCGTCAAAGTTTCCTTAAAATAAAAAGCTGTTTTTTTAAACCAACTTTTAATTTTTTGATTAGTATTAAAAATAAAAAATAAAATTAAAAAAAAAATAATCAAGAGATACCCTCTGCAAAACATTTTGCTCAATCAAACCTGCAACCTTTCATTCAAGCAATGCTTAACTCCACCTCAGCCTTCTGGTTATGTTGTTACATCTGACAGCTTTTTGCAACGTTGAGTGGCACCCACGCATTTTTCTGAATCAACTCAGAGAATAAAACCCAGAGCGTGCCAGAGCGTCACTGCCAGCGTTTCCAGGAGGAGTGGGATGGAGCGCATTTCCTACGAAACCGCACAGAACGCCGCTCTCCTTAACCACACTAGCTTATCACAGCCCTCGAGTGACCCCGTTTAGCCCCACGCAGTTGGAGCCACACGCAGCCACGCAGGGGTTCGCAGACCGACGTGAACACAAGGTACTGCCGGCAGCAACAACCTTATCTGCCCCTCCTGGAATGACATACACATCACGATGGACTGCTTTTATTAAGACACTTAAACAGCTGGTGCTGGCAGGTGATGCTCTGCTATTTAATTTATCAAAGCCCCTGCATTACCTAACAGGAAGGAAAAGGTCTGAATTCTCAAACCAACCCAGCAAGTTTGGGGAACAGAAACAGTTTATAAATCAGAGTGCAAACCTACTTGCTCGGCAAGTTAGGTCAAGTGAGCAAAAAGGGGAAGGGGGACAGGAGAGCGCTGCACCCCAATACTAACCTCCATCCGCAGCCCGGCCACGTGCACGCAAAAGGCTTTTCTCCCGTATGCCTCCTCAGGTGGGCTTTCAAGTGGCTGCTTTTCGTGTACATCTTGGTACAACCAGGAAAAGAACATTTGTGCATTTTAATGAGTTCTGCTGCAGGGTTCTTTTGAAATTTCTGACCCATGATGATTCCCGTCTGACCCTGAATCATGCCTCCTGGCCCAATTGGCTTGGCGGCGATGGGGACGGGAGCAATGCGGACAAATTTAGAGGACAAGTTCAAATTGGACGACTGAACTATCTGAGGCACAAGGGCAAATGTCTGTCCTTGGATGTTAACTAGGAGCTGTGCAATTTTTATGTTCTCTTGTGCTGGTCCTTGGGAACTGGGGCTTGTGTTGGACTCCTGTTTGATCTGTACAGGCTGAATTTGGAGCATAACCGGTATCCCATTCTCCAGGGACATTCCTCCATTTGAAGCTTGGCCACCTTCCGTTGAGCTGCTCAACTGTTCATTTTTACTCTCTTTTAAACTAGCGCTGGGTAACATATGGTCTTTTTGCTGTAGTGAAGCAACAGAGACTTGGCTGCAAGCTCTCAAGTCCTTGGTCTCACTTTTAGGTCTTTCTCTGAGCTCCAACTCCATGTTCTCCTCCAGAAATTCCTCAATTTCCTCAAGCGTGGGCTGAAATGGTCCTGAGTCTTCCATATCCACAGCAAATTCAGGCAACCTGAAGTTGTACTCCTCTTTCACTTTCGGCTGAACTCTCCTTTTGTCCCACCATGATGCAGCGGTGTTCCCCAAAGATGCCTGGGACAATAAGTACTCTAAGATACTGTCCTGACTTTCCGCACTGGACGTGCTTCCATAGCTGGAGCTGAGAACCTGGGAGTCAGGGCTGGAACAAGAACAAAAGCTGGACGAGTCGCTGTCATCTTCCGACAGGGGCGAGGGCAGCATTTGGTAGGACCTCACCCCTGCTGTCATGTCCCCAAAGTATCCAAGAGAAGATCTTGTAGATGAGAAGGATTCATCAGTAGGCAGCAAGTGATCCACCATTCCTGGGCGATCTCTTATGGATATCCCAATAGCATACAACAGGCGGTGAAAGTTCAGGTGAGAGCCTGAGTGTAGGAAAACAAAACAGCAACAGTCAGAAGTTGGTTTAATCATTTATCTCCATGAACTAAAGCTCATAAAGCCCTCTAGCTCACAGGAAAGTCCAAAGCATCCAGTCTCACTGAGTACACATGCTGCTACACGCTTTGATACGTCTGTACCACCCCCTAAGGACTGTCAGGGCCGAAGCATTTTTGCAGGATTGCACCACGTATTTGCAAAAGAATTCTTTCAGAAAGCATTTCCCAACTGTGCGCACTCTAGATTTACAGCTCCCTTCCAGAATATTACTGGCAAGAGAAAATAAATTATAGGCTTTCACTTAACAGTGAAACCTAGAGCCAAAGAAGGGAATGGGGAGAAAAAATAAAGTGTTGAAATTTTTACCACCCAAAATAACAAATAAAAAAAGAAGTTTATTGCTGGTGGCCATAAAACACAAATCCTTTCCTTATCTTGTAGCTTCCACCAACTTTATTTTTAACTTCCTCAGTTCCACAAATATAGGCTAATCAGCATAATGCAAGGATCAATCTGTCAGGAGCCAAAAATATTTACTGTGCTTCAGCATTTACTAGGCGGATTTTCCCCTCCAGATGTAATGAATCAGTGTGCCAACGTCATCATCACCTGCACTGCCCTTAATAAGGCTGGCACTGCGCTGAGCTAATTACCATGTCCTGGCAAGCCAGCTGGTGGCTGGTTTCACCTCATCACTCCATACTCCTCTCCCTCCGGGTACGGAGGTCGAGGAGATCTGAACCTCATGCCAGTTGCTAAACTGGGAGGGCTCATACGGACCCCCTGCACCTCAATCTGCCGTGACCACAGCAGACAGCTGTGCTCCAGTTTCTCCCCTGTGTTGAGGTGGTGAGTGGGGAGCATCCCTCAAGCCCCTACTCACGTGAGCCATAATCCCGCTGCAACCCCACGGAGGCACAAGGGCAAAACCCATCCTTCCTAGTGCAGCCCACCACAATGCTCGCCGGCAGCGGCGACCA